GATTTTATAGCTGTTCAACTGGGAAATAGCATACCGTGGTTTGCATGTCGGTCTTATTTCACAGGCACTGTAGCACTGAAAATGTTGTATGCCTGGGGGAATATTGTGCTCTCACCCTGAGACAAGACCCAGAATGATGTATCTGTTTAAACTGTCTGCTTCCTTTAATAGGACAATAGCTGTGTTTCCTTGAAACCAGAACAGCTTCCTCTGCAGAAGAAAGAAGGCCTGGTGTGAGCACCTATATCAGCTTTATCTAGGTCCCTTCAATAGGAGATTGCAGGAGGCAGTCAAGATCTGGATAAATGTGTATTGATCACTCTACACCCCTTCATTAGCCAGCCTGTATCTGCATTTGATCTTCCACATCTCTCAAGACTTCCTTCTCTGAACGGTTCCAGTTTTTTTATTTTTTTGTTCTCCTTGCTTCCATTATCCCCATGTCCTCTTTGAGGATTTCATCAGACCTTTTTTTTTTTACATTCAGCCTCAAAGGAGTTATAGTCCAAAAAGCTGACTTTTCCAAACTCTGATTTTGATCCTAATTTTCATGGCCCTTCAGCTGCTATAATGTAGGCACTACATGGTGGACAGTTCTGCTCCCTCAGTTGCTAATATGTTTGTTAAAACTGGATTATATCTGAGCATCTCAGCTAGTCACTGTCAGCCCCAGAAGGTTTTCAATGTTGTTGCTGTTGTTATGTGCCCTCCAATTGTCTCTGGCTTATAACAACCCTATGAATGAATGATTTCCAAAATGTCCTGTCCTCAACAGCCCTGCTCAGCTCTTGTAAACTCCAATCCATTTCATGTCTGATCTTCCTCTTTTCCTGATGCTTTCAATCTTTCCCAGCATTATCGTCTTTTCAAGTGAATCTTCCCTTCTCATATGTGCCCACAGTGTGACAGCCTCAGTTTCATCATCTCTGCCTCCAGAGATAGTTCAGACTTGTTTTGCTCTAGGACCCACTTGTTTGTTTTCTGGCAAAACAAACATATCTGCAAGGGTCTTGCAAAAAAACTACAGTACAGAAGATGTATGATGAAATCTTTTGCTATTTTTGAACTACATGGATTGATACAATCTAGCTAGTTCTATGCATTTTCAATTTCCTGAGTGACAAGCAATCAACATGAGCTGGCTTCCATCTTGTTCTAATCCACAGTATAACCTAGCTACAGTACCGATGATGTATGTTGAAGTCTTTTGCTATTTTAAACTACGTGGATTGATACAATCTAGCTACTTCTATGATATCTTGATATCTTTGTTCTTCACTGGCTGCAATTTCCATTTTGTGATATAGTACACCTACAGAAAGTGTTAACTATGGTTTGTTTAAACCAACAATCAGTACCTCTGATCAATCCAAGGGCCAGTTTTCAAGCTGATAAAAACGAAATCTAACATAGGTATTCTAGGGTGCCTCATGGCCTGTTCAAAAGAGGAATCAACATACCTAGAGAGTTCCAGGAGCTGTAATTCACCAATTTTTATGGGAAGAGAGGACCAGGGAAGGGTGCAGACCCCAAAAAACCTTGTGAGGTGCATGCGGCCCCAGAGCCATGGTGTTCACCCCAATTTAAATTACATGTTCAAAATGACTTGTTTTAAATAAATCTTTGCTTCCAAACATATCTTCCTCGTCATGTGACAGGAAGAGAGGGGACCATACGAGCCCAAGTCGTCTACCATGAAGCGCAGAAGTGGTTAGAACAAGAGACATCAATAAATAGCAAAGCGTATCTATAGAAGCCATCATCTGCTGGCCAAATACTTCATTGAAAGGTTAATTACTCATTATATCACTTCAGTATGGTGACTTTTTAGTTTGTTATAAAAATGTAAATAGTGATTAAAATGATTAGTCGCTCTAATCTTCAACGTTATAATTTTGTGCAAGTGATTAAATATGTGTCCTTCAAAATCTCTGTCCAAGACAAAAGCAAGTTACTATTCTCATGAGGCAGCCATTGTAAAACAAAGTGGCCCAGCCTCATCCTATTAGATCCCCTTGACAGTAACCATCTTTGTCTCTTAAATCTTGCATTAGTTTCCCTCAGTTTTCTTCAAGCTGCAAGAAGGAAGGAAGGGAGACCTTTTCATAATTTTTCAGAAATATGGATGTATAACAGAACCTCTGAAGCAAAGAGAGTATCTACGCTATGCAGTTATCTGGCAGCCATTTTAACTGTCATGGCTGCCTAGTATGGAATTCTAGAATCTGTCATTTGGTGAGTGACTTAAGACTTCTTCGTTGGACAGCTCCTGTGCTCTCCCTTGGACTACAAATTCTAAGAATTTCACCAAGTACATATCCCAGAATCCCATAGGATGGAGCCAGGGCAGTTCAAGTGCAATCAAACTGCTATAACTGCCCTGAACAGGTTACATGAACCTTCCTCTCACTAACAACAGATAAGAGAGATGTCCTTTACAATAGGACCATGATATCCATGGGGGGTCGGCTCCAACTCCCCTGGTAAGTGGAATGCTATACACCAGAGGTTGTCAAGCCCCCTCTGCAGCCCAGTGCTGGTCCGTGGGCTTGCCGGAACTGGGCTGCGGATACAGATCTCTGCCCCCCCCCCGGGCACACATGCATGTCACATTCACGCAGGGGGCGTGCCACACCCGTGGGGGGCCTCATCACGCAAGTGTGACATTCCCCTGGCCCCCCTGCACATGGAACTCGTTCTCCCCAGCCGGTCGGCGACCCCAAAAAGGTTGAGGGCTGCTGCTATACACTGCATGATCTCTAGGTCCTTCTAGTGGCCAGTTCTGGTAAATACATCCTGGAACTTCATATAAATAGATATTTCTGGTTTTTATTTCATATTTTTAGGCAGCCTATAAGTGAATCAGTGGATACTGATCCTGTGGATAAGGGGGATCCTATTGTAGTTCTAGTGTACAACAGGTATAGAGGGTCATGCAGTGGCCTCTATATTTGCAGCAGGACTTATGAGCTCTGCCTCCACCCATTTCCAGATGTACTTCTTCTGCCACTGAACAAACCACTTCCCAGATACAAAGGCACACCAGAAGTCCCACTACTGAAACGAAAAGGAAAATCCAATTGTAAGTCTTCAAAAGAAAGGCTCTACATCACTGTAATAGCCATTACCCATGTTTGATTCTACAAGTATTTCAGACAATTTCATACTGTCTTAAACATTTGTAGAGTTCACATGGGTGATAGCCATTACAGTAAGTTGCATCACAACTTTAACATAGCAGCACAATTTTATTACTTCCTAGCTGTGACACAGGACAAGCAAGCACCATTTGTGGTAAAATCTGAACAATCATAGGCGCTCAAATGAGCAGTCTTTGCAAGAAGAGCCTCTGTATATCATGTGATCCCCTAGGCTGCTTATTCTTTGAGCTCCTCTAGAGTAAATAAGGATAGGATTCCACTCAGAGGCTGTGATCAGCAAACACATTTTATTTATTATTTCTGTTGAAATGCTTATGTTTTCTGAATGCATGTTGGGGGTCAACTTTAAGAAACAAAATAAGCTTGGAAAATGCAAAACTGGAGAAGTATTTCATAGTTCTAGCAAAATTATTTCACTGCTCACTGATGATTTGTGGGCTGCTTGTAAGCTAAAGAGAGCACAAAATAGACACGGAACGCTGTTACCTTCCCACCAAAGTGGTCCCTATTTATCTACTTGCATTTGCACGCTTTCGAACCGCTAGGTTGGCGGAAGCTGGGACAAGCGACAAGCACAGGCTTCTGCGGTTTAGCTAAAGAGAGCACAAAACTGCACAAAGAGCTAAATCACCCATAGTATCAAATCAGAAAATGGAGCAATTTTCTCCATGTACCTACAATACTTAAAGGTGCAAAACAGCAGGATGGAAAATCAGCTGGCCACATAGCTTCCTGCCAATTTGTGTTTGTGTTCTCTAGTTAAGATTATATGCAGCAGCAAAGTTTGGAGCAGAAGTGCCATTACTTTATTTCGACATATTTAGATCTTAAATTCAAATTTATGACTGTGAGACAACTGCTTTAATGTAAGGGCTTTGGTGTTTGGGCATCCAAGTACTTTGATAACTGATTAAAATGGGATGTGGGTAGAGATGGGCAGGAACCTTGATTTAGACTGAGGTTCATTCCAGTCCACACATGTGGTACCACAGGTACTGCATGTTTTCTTCTCCCGCCTCCCCGCCAATGACCCACTCGCCAGCTGGCACACGCTCTTCTCATCCTCCTCTTTGGTTGATCAAACAGTCCCCAGCAGGAGCAGGAGGTTGCCTGTCCTGCCTCCTTGTCTGTGTGGGTGATCAGTGAAGGAGGTGAAGCAGGGAAGCCATGCTCTTGCTGGAGACTGGTCAAATAGCCCAAGAGGGAGGAGGAGGAGGAGAGGAGCATGCGTGCTGACTGGTGAGTGGGGGATCCAGTTGGAGAGGTGGGGGAAAGGGAATGCACGGCACCTGTGTTGCTATGCATAAAAACCAACAGGAACCTCCAAATAGAGGCTCCTACCCATCTCTAGATGTAAGCATTCAGGAAATCTCGACCCTACACACTGAAACCTGTTAAAACATATCCCTCTTTTCTTGGAAAACTTTATGAACTGTATTTGGAATTTGGGTCTTGACCACCTCAAGAGATTCTCAGCATCTTTTCCTGATAAAACCAGAACTTGGAAAACAAGTCCCAGATACAATCACCTCCAACCAAAATCCAATTATAACTTGAAGTAAAATTGGGAATTTGCCTTTTAAAAATTTAATTTATTTATTGGACTACAATTCCCAGAATCCAGTGGTTGTGCTGGTTAGAAGATTCTGTGAACTACACTAAAAAAAGAACTCACTCTTTATACAATTTGCAGCACCCTTAAGAGAGACCACCACAAACTGGGGAAAATCTCTAACCGAAAAAAAACATACTGTACTCTTTCTTGACCTTATTTGGTTTTGTTTGGTAGAAAAATATACACATAAATTAGTAAGTCTAATAAAAGGCAAATGACCTTACAGAACAAACTCGGGCTTCTCGGCAAGCTTCAGGGCCTCATGCATGCCTGCAGCTGATAGCTTACGGTTGATATTCCTATATCTGCACTGCAGCAGATTGCGATAGGTTGTCCTCAGGTCCCGGTTGAAGAAGGCATATATAAATGGGTTAATAAGAGAGTTTGCATAACCCAGCCACAGAAATGTCCTCTCCACCCACAGTGGGATACAGCTGCAAGACGTCCCACAGATAAATGGTCTAGCCGTGGAGAGTATGAAAAATGGCAGCCAGCACACGGTAAAAGCCCCTACGATAATTCCCAGAGTGGTGGCTGCCTTCTGCTCCCTTTTGAAAATGGAAATGTTCTTCCGCTCATGCTTCAGCAGCCGTGAAAAATTGGTGCAGTCTTCCGATTCCTTGTGCAGCTTCACAATGCCATTGGCAGACATCACCCCTTCATTTTCTTCAGGGCGTGGGAATCCTGTAAACTTGTGTTTGGCTGCACTCTTCTTGGCAGCCTTGTAGATCTGATAGTACATGAAAAGCATCACCGACATGGGGATATAAAATGCCACAGCTGTGGAATAAATGGTGTACCCGAAGTCTTGGCTGATCAAGCAAACTTTGTCGTCACTTATATTTTGAGCCCAGCCAAAGAGAGGTGGCAATGTAATGGAAGCTGACAGCAGCCACACACAAAGGATCATTTTAGCCATACACTTCCCATTTTGCCTTACGGGATAGGTGAGAGGTCTAGTAATGCCAAGGTACCTGAAAGAGAGAGAGAGAGAGAGAGAGAGAGAGAGAACAGGGTTATTTCTGTTACCACCTGCTGTGCAGATACTACAGACTGAATAATAACAAATCACAAATTGGTCAGTTAACGAAACATGGAAAAATAATAATTTGCATTCCAGGCTAGCTTGGTTCTTCAAACACACATTTTCTTTTAAAACAGGCTAATGGTGTAGATCATGACTATATGGCTATATTGGATTGTGGTTTTTTTTTGTAATCTAACCAATTCAAATGCTGGATTTTTCAACTCCAGAGCTTGTTTTAAGTATACCAAGAGCTTCACAATCATTTTTTTCTTCATCTTGACAAAACAAAAAGCAAGAGAGAAAGGAGCACATAACTAATACTAAGTTACAGCTGGGAAAACCAAGGCTCATCAGAAAGCCCTATCAGCTTCAGGAGGCTGTGCAAGATTTTTCCACCACAAATATTCTGCTGTCCTCAAAGGTTTCAGCAGGACCAAGAGGATCCTAGGGGAGCTTAGGAATCTTGAGGAGTGATAGGATTTTTATTAGCAAAACATAGCCACAGTCAATGACATTATCAGAGTTATAAGGCACAATTTACATTACTGGATTTCAGCCACAGAGTTTCTTGCAATAATTTATTTTCGCAATATATAGGGAAGGGATTGCTTCATTGTCTTTGCAGCATAGCTATAACTACTTTAGTTATATTAATAATTGGAAATAATGCACGACATCACTACTTGTCAGAACTGGAAAACTTACCAATGTTGTAATCACATTACAATATTTTAGAGTAAACAAAAAGTAACTAATTACAGTACTTTTGAGCAATAAAAATGTGTTACTTCTTCAAAACTATAACTCCACTAGTAGCAACTTTAAGGGGCCATTGCAAGTTCAGCTGTCATGTTACTTTTAAAATGTAACTTTTCAAGTTCTGGGATGGGAAAAATCTGATGAGGAAAAGTTATAAGCATATGAATTCAAAAACTGCACTTCACTTTACAGGTGTCTAACAATGGGCAATCATAGCATCATGTGCAGTTCTGCCTTAAAAATGATCTAATTCTAGACAAAATTAAGGGAAATATGTACTATTATTATGAACATTATATCTAGCAGTTCTCAAACACAGATTTTTTTAAAAAAAAATGCTTGTATATCTCCAAGTCAGAGTGGTAATGGGTTAAATATAGCCTCAGTTAAGGTCAACCTTGCATATTATATATTTCTGAAGTGCCCCACAGTGGAAGTTAATGTATTCAAGTATTTTTTTTTAATTCCATGAATTATACTGACATGATTAAAATGCATTAGATTGAGAAAGTCATGTCAGGGCAAAACTATATTTATTCTATAAAATACAGCATTTGAAATTAAAATTCATTAATCTACATAAAATGCACTAAGTTCTTCCCTCTTATATTTCTATTTCAGGTGCAGATAATGGTCTCTAAAGATGAAACAGACATCAATCAGCCCTCACTCCATTCACCTCAATATATTCATTCTGTATATACATTACATTAACCTTGAAATCCCTTTTTAACATAATGTAAATCACTAAGTTGTCTACTGTGGAGAAGTCATGCAGAATGGCTGAACAGAAATGTGTTTAGCTCTTATCCATCTCCCCGCATACAGCAGAAAATGGATTCTTTCATCCGTCAGGGCTCTTGTATCTTTTTAATGGTGTTGTGGAAGAGTGAATTATAGCATGTGCAGTTTGTCATAGAGAACTCCTGCCCAAGGATGGGGTACTTGGTGCTTCTTACTCACACAGGCCAGCATACGCAATACCCAAACACAACTGAGTTATCTTGAGTACATCAGAAACCACCACCACCCCCAAAAATAAAACCCTCATGAGCATCTTTTCCTATTCCTACCAGTAAAATTACAAGGAAAGAGCTAACAATTCACTGGCTTTTCCAATGACACCTAGAACCTGATGATTAAGGCAGAGGTGGCCCTTCTGTCCTGCAAGTTATACCTTGTGAAATTCTCTTTTCTCCACAGTTATTCAAAGTACAGACCCCCTTCCATCCTTTTTTGCACCCATCCCCAAAAAAGTGGCACACAATCACCACAAATTCAAATTTCTGTCCAGTGATGTGTGCATGCTGATACGGGCACAAAGAAGAGGGAAGTTGTGGGGAGGATGGATGCTAGTAAAGAACAAGAGACAAGCAGACAAGAGACAGTTGTCTAATTCTTTACTATCTTTGCTATCTTAACTACTTAACTGCTATCTTTACTACTTTGCTATCTTAAAACAAATGGGCAGTCTTCCATGTGGTTGAGAACAGAATAATGCCAATGGTGGGATTCTCTCCTCCTCACATGAGCACAAATTCAAAGAGAAATTTTCCTGAAGACTCCAACAGGAAATAAAGAGGTTTTATATTTTCCCACTTTTAACTCTTATTAATTATCAACATCCCATTGGATGCAAAAACACAATTAGGGCCTATCCAGACAGGGGAACTTGGAGTGGCCTGGTTCATTCTTAAACGTTCACTCTTATTTTTAATGCCACCTATTTTGTCTCTCACTTGAGCGATCCTTCCATTCACACTAGAGGTGTTTATTCTCCCATGCGAAGGGTCCACACGGGCCTTTGGAACATGGGTTTACAGGCAAGGTTTACTCAGTTTACTCATGTGTAAGGAGGCAGCAGCGACAGTGGCAGTGCGAGGGGAAAACACTGGTGTGAAGGTTGGAGAGACAGAAGGCAGGCACCTCCACAAACATCTCTTTTCCCACCTTCCTCCTCAGCTGGGACTCTCTCTGCTGGGGTTGCCTTGTAGGTGTGGAGCCCTTACAAGCTTTTTTCACACTCATTCAGCCAGCTGCAGTGGCTTTCCTTTTGTTGTTGTTAAATAAAGTAAGCAGCACATCAAAAGAGTGATGCAACCAAATAGCATGGCATTAGAATTGCCCTGCATCAGTTTAGGAAATATTTTAAAAAATGAAAACAGAGAAGGGCTTTTTTCCATCTTCCCTTTTAATATCACCACCTAATAAGTCACAGGGTTGTTATCTCAAATAATGCCACTGGGCTGCAAACTAGCCATGCACATGGGCTACACAATGAGATAATTAGCAATGTGCGAAATTGTGCCAAAACCCCCAGCCGCCCCTAGTCCTGTGCCAGAAAGGAGCAGGACAGCTCTGAAATGTCCCTTTCAGAGCGGTCTTGCTCCTTTCTGGCACAGGAGAAGCTGACCCAAGTAGCAACACGTGGCACCAATGCATACTTTTAAAAACCACACCAGGACTTGACTCATGTAAGACAAGTGAAATCACTGCAAAACCATTTGTGGTCCTCTCTGATTAGTGTAGTTGTGGTCTGTGTTACTGATAAAACTTGGACTGGAGTTCCTCCAAATACTGCCATACTGAAACCACGGCAATAATTTAGAAATATTACATATAAATGCAGATTTTCCTAAGCCTTAGTTTTCATGTCACCACAATAATCACGATTTTTCCTTTTCTTACTACAATTCCCCCCCACACACAGGTTACACTCTGTTTTACCAAATCTATTATCTTATAAATGAAATTTGTAAATAACAAATCCTGTTAGTGGAGGGTCCTCATTTACAGGTGGCCTAAAAATAATTTCAAATGGATAAATGGATCCTGTGTACATACTACTTGTGAAGTTATTTTTGTTTCATTGGTTGTTGTGGGTTTTTCAGGCTCTTTGGCTCTTCAGAGGAACAGGAGTAGTAACTCTGTCCATGTTCTGTTCCTACTCCTGTTCCTCTGAAGATGCTGGCCACAGAGACTGGAGAAACATCAGGAAGAACAACCTTCAGGATATGGCCAAAGAGCCCAAAAAACCCACAACAACCATCAGATCCAGGCCGTGAAAGCCTTTGAGAATATATTTTTGTTTCATTCTCTTTCATTGACACACTATTCATTTTGCTCTTCTGTTTCTATTTACCTTCTTTTCTTTTTTTACTATATACCATATATTCTTTACTTTTGTCTTCAAAACTGCAGGTTCATTCCTTTAGAGAAACTTCTTCATTCTCTTCCAATTCCAAAGCCATCTCCTATATAATCTCCTTTTAGCAAGAGACATGCCTTCACAATATGATTTCCCATTGGCCTTTATTTCCCTGCAGGTGAGGGTTTTGCAACCATGTTTACTTTTAATTCCCAAGACAGCTGCATTCTGCTCTGTTTGTCTGTCACTCCTAACAACAGAAACACTCACCTCTCCATATGGACATGTTTCAGCGATCTTGCTTTTGCCCTACACTATAAAGTATACCTAGTAGTTCCCCTTAGATAACAAGAAGTAGAGAAAATAAAATTGGCAATTTTGCCTCGTAACATTCAGCAAGACTGTTGCCCAAATAAGATGATGTTGCCAATCCAACATTACAAAACACACACCCCTTGAGTACTGGGGTGTTTAAACAGCTGCCTTTATTTAATAGATTGTTTCCATGCAGTATGATTTATCATGAAATATAAGCACATTTTTGCCTCAATCTCCTCAGTGGATTATGACTGTACCGGTAACAAGACTGGTGTGTATTTTTGCCAAGAAAAACAATGAAGAGGCTACTGGCCAGCTGGCATCATGTTGCACCAGCTTCACTCCAGTGAGTTAGCCTCATGTTGAATGGACATTCTGTCTCAGTGAGAAACAAGCAAAATATACAAGTGAGCTCTGCTAACCTCATCTCTATGAAAAAAAAAACTTTCAGTTGAGACGCTCTACTTCCATAATATTTTTTTAATCTTGAGACAATCTGATTCAGAAGCTTCTTCAGCTAGTTGGTTAGGGCCAAGACTCATTCCACTGGTCATACCAAATGGATGGGGGTAACCATGTATTTCCTCTTCCTTAAAGTGACCCTTCCATCCATGAGGGATTACTCCAGCCTGGCCCCCAAAATCAGTATCCCTACAGTTGGGCCAAAAAGATCTAAGCCTGGCACAAGTTGGGGTCAGACTGGAGCACAATTCCTCATATTG